ATCCCCTTACCAGTCATCTTTAAAAAAAAAAAAAAAAAAAAAAAAACAGTAGCATTCAAGTTAATTGGCAAAAAAGTAGTTAATAAAAAATGGTAGTAGGACAAAGTTCTAAGCATTTGGATAAATATAATGCAAAAAAAGTTACAAATGGATTAAATTTGTGTATTTTACATGTGTTAGAAAAATGCTAATGAGTTATTATGAGCATACTTCAAAAAGTTTGTGGAAAGATAGAATTAAAAGATAACAAACACAGCTCTTTCCATGAACTTTTTGAAGTACTCACATACTACTATTTATATAACTCTGAGTTAGTATCAGAAGCACTATACAGGGCCAGCCTGTGGTTCACTCGAGTATGGTGCTGATAACACCAAGGCCACGGGTTTGGATCCTTTATTAGGGATGGCCGGTTGGCTCAGTTGCTGAGCGTGGTGTTGACAACACCAAGCCAAGGGTTGAGATCCCCTTACCGGTCATCTTTTTTTTTTTTTTTTTCCCTTTTTTGTCTTTTTTCGTGACCGGTAACGGGATCGCAACCCTCAGTGTCGCGACCAGCAACGGGATCACAACCCTCGGTGTCGCGCCCGCACCGCGCTCAACCAGTGAGTGGACCGGTCTCTATATGGGATCCGAACCCTCGGTGGGAGCACCGCTGCACTCTACCGAGTGCGCCACCGGGCCGGCCCACCGGTCATCTTTAAAAAAAAAAAAAAAAAAAAAGAAGCACCATACAATAGGCTCTGGGGTCAGATCTAAGTTCAAGTGCTGGCTTCAACATCTACTGGTGAGGAAACTTAAGCAAATTACTTTTAATTTTTTAAAAAAAGAAAATTGAAAAGTTAACTTATTTTAATAACTTTTTTAACATTCTCTCATCTGTAGAATACAGATAATAGGGCTGGCCAGTTAGCTCAGTTGGTTAGAGCACCACCTTGTAACACCAAGGACAAGGGTTCAGATCCCCTTACAGGTTAGCCGGCAAAACCAAACAAACTAAGATCCAGATAGTAATATAAGGCCCTTACCCTTACCATAGTAAACAGTAAGTATTTATTATGAAATAGGCTCTCCAAGCAGGGCACCAAAAGCAGAAACTGTAATCCAGAGATTGACAAAACTGACCATACAAAAATCAAGAGCTCTGTAGAAGTCCTTCACACCCAAGACAAGCTGAGTAACTGCCTTGATTTAGCAAATAAGTATCAGCATAACAATTATTATCAAGTAGACAAAAGTCACTCGATTGGGCCGGCCCGGTGGCGCACTGGATAAGTGCGCCGCTTGGGAAGCGCAGCGGCGCTCCCGCCCGAGGGTTCGGATCCCACATACAGACCGGTTCCCGCTCACTGGCTGAGCGAGGCGCGGGAGCGACCCCGAGGGTTGCGATCCCGTTGCCGGTCCCCGGCCCGGTACGGGGGCAACACTGAGGGTTGCGATCCGTTGCCGGACACGGAAAAAGACAAAAAAAAAAAAAAAAAAGTCACTCGATTCTAAGAAAATAAGAATGAGCCATAGTTAAATGAACATACATCTTAGGTCACTTCAAGGACGCCAAGATGCATACTCCAGTTAGAATGCTAGCCTGAGATGAAAAGGTGTAAAAATGTAGCAACCGTCTACCTTAAGGTGCCTGCTCACTATTTCATGGCATTAGAATGTCATTAGAATGACATTCATTAGAATGACATTTCAGTGAAACCTGATAAACACAAGAGAACATCAGCGTGCCATGCTGCAGTATATTAAGCTCCGGAGCCATGAGAATCATTTCTTTATTAAGTACCTTGTTTGATTCCTGTAGTGACATTTTAAGTGGGATTCCTAGAACTAGTTGAACTTAAAAATCTTTTTCAACAGTAAAGTTCTAAGATTCCTTATCGTGAACCCAGAACTTGACCCTGGGATCCACAGTGACATATCCCATCATGTTTCACCAACATTTCAGGATCTGAGAACTGGCCGTGGTATCTTAAGTCCTGACTTACCGTGACCACGCAAGCATCTCACAATCCCAGTGTTTGTCAGGACTTATCATGACTCTAAGAAACGACACACTGCGGCAAGTGATCCATACAATGTCACAACTGTGAGTCCTCATCATGCCCCTCCTTTCCCCTAATAGATGCAAAGTCGGGATCACCTTCCAACCACCCCCACTCCCGAAGCCCCGAAAATACTAAGGAAGGAACCGATAGACCCTTGACCTGACCTCAATCTCGTAGTCCTTCACCGGAGGGGGAGCAGCTGCAGCCGCCATGGCCAGGACCCCCACCATGCTCCCTGCTTTCCGGATTCCCGGGTCCTAGGACCTTGCGCGGTCCCGCCTGGCCTGCCTGGAGGCCATGGAGGCTACCCGCTCCGGCAGGAGCGAGTTGCCGGGCCGCCGGATCCGTCTCGGATTCCCCCGCGCCCACCGGCCGGAGCGGGCGCTGAGGCTGGGCCCAGCTCAGCCGAGTCGAACGCGGAAAGAAGCACTGAGAAAGCGCAGGCAGCAAGGCTCCTGGGGTGCGGCCGGTGAGTGCAAGGTGCCCCCGAGGTTGGCGCTCCAGGCTGAGCGCTCGGGATCGGGGTCCGGGCGGCGAAAGCTGACGGAACGCAGATCGGATCGCCGGACTTCGGAGGGAGTTCTTGTCAATTGGGTTTTCGCGCCGTCCGGAGCGCAGGGGGCGGAGTCTACGGCTGCTTCTGGAGGCTGCGCGGACGGTGAGCCAAGAGGGACAAAATACGGCCCTGCTGCGCCTTCAGGAGACAGGACCATCGCACTGTGGTGTTTAAAACCAGCCGGGATTTCAAATATTCGAACTTTTCCGGATATATAGCCCAGTTTCACCGTTGAGGACGTGATTTGACTAAGGTCACCTGGTTAGTTGGTGGCCAAATTAAAACAGACTTTTAACGCCCAAGGCTAGTCCCTTTTTAAAGTGGAGATTTGAAAAATACGGAAACGGAAATAATTGATTACATTACTAACTCAATAAAATGTCAATATTTTGGCAAGGGTCCTACCTCGAGATACGTCCTTTCGGGTCCGGGATTTCGACTTTTATCCCCTCGGTTGGGCTAAGGAGGCATTTGTCCCGTGGACTTGGTCTTCGCGAGCGGCCTCGTCTGATTGGCGCGTCCTCGCGAGGCAGCAGGTTTCCAGTGGTGACTGTCTCATGCATCATTTGCATTGTTTTCATGGATTTGTTTAGCCTTTACTTTTTTTTACGTCCAAGTTAAAATTACATAACTATAGTGTATGTTAGTTTTGTTTGAGTGCATAGCCTCACAGCACGTAAGAGTCGAGTTACGCAAACTGATTTTAATTATTGACATAATTGTGTCCATCTTTAGGGTATTTGGTGCAGTCTTACCATAAGAGGTACAAATTTCTCCAGTGAAATTAGTAGTAATTATTATTATTATTTATTTATTTTGGCGGCCGGTCTGTACGGTGGTAATTTTCCTTTGAAAATCAGAGCCGGATAAGGTTTTTCAGGAAGGGGAGACTGCATTGCTTTCAGTGTTGTAAGTATACAGTGTTTTGCTATTTGGGTTCGGGTTTTTGCTTTTGTTTTTGTTTTGTTTTTAATAACTTAGTATAAGAACATTGTCTGAGGAGGAGGCGGGGGAGGGAATGAGAGGGAGGGAGATGAGAAGTGAGAAAATTACAGACAAAAGTAAAAGTCTCCTTTGGCTTCTATCCCCAAACTCAGTCTCTTCTCCCCAGGGGTAGCCACTATTACCTATTTGGCAGGTAGTATTGCAGCCTCTTAAAATACTTTTACAACCTTATAACACCGAGGTCACGGGTTCAGATCCCAGTATCCGCCAGCCGCCAAAAAGCAAAACCAAACCAAACAAAACAAAACAAAAAACGTTTACATACATATATGTATCCATAGGAAAATCTTTAGTTTTGTTTTTATTTACATAAAAGGTTAACACTGTAAATATCACTCAGCAATGTGCTTTTTTCACTCAACATCATTTTCAAGACCCATCCATGACACATGTAGATCTGATTCATTCACTTCTTTCCTGAGCATTCATGCAATTATGCACCACGTTTTATTTATCCATTTCCTCGGTTATGAAAATTTAGGTAGTCTCCGATCTCCTGTTATTCAAACAATGAGTCAATAACAGTCTTCTCCATGTCTCCTTGAACACCTGTAATGTTTCTCTAGGATACACATTTGAAAGTGGAATTGCCCGGTTGTAGGGTATGTCTCTAGTGCTTTTTAGTCTTCTGAATTACAAAGCATTTAAACTACATTGAGTTGTTAAGAATTTGCGCTGAGTTTATCTTCAGATATGTAGTTAGTATTTTACTCAACCCTTATTTAGGAGGTCATGGCATTTATCTTAAATAAACTCTCACATTTTGTAAAGCAATTTAGAGCTTATGATGTGCCCATATCGTATTAGATTATTGTCCTAATCTGGCTAGCCCCTACTTTTATTTATTTTTTTTTAAAGTTTATTTATTTATTAATATTATTATTATTTTTTTAACATTCTGTGATGTTATGGAGCAGCTGGGGGGGAGGTAGAGAGGGGAAAGGGGAAGGAAATAGGGTGGAAAAGGAGGAAGAAGGACGGGTGGAGTTGAGGCCTGTGACACCCCCCCATTCCTGCATGGGAGACCAGTGGTCTTCCAGCGGTGGCCTGGTCATTGCTGAGATTGGTGCAGATGTCATAGGGATGTGGATGAAGCCCTCGCCACCTCCCCACACACACTGCCCCAGCTCAGGAGCCCAGGGAGCTTCCTGCAGAGGCTTGATGGTTGTCACTGGGCTGGTTGGGGGGGCACGGCTGAGGCCCCCAGCCCTCCCCTATCCCTGGCTTAGTAGTTCAGGGAACTTCTGGTCCTTCTAGGTGTTATAGGTGTTCTTTGGTGATGGGAGACCTTTACTACACGGCTGAGGCCCCCAGCCCTCCCCTATCCCTGGCTTAGTAGTCCAGGGAACTTCTGGTCCTTCTAGGTGTTATAGGTGTTCTTTGGTGATGGGAGACCTTTACTAATTAATATCAAACTTTGTCTCTGGTCTGTGGGTATTTTGTTTTTTCTTTCAGTTCTGTGCTGGATTATGTGCTGTTCCCACCACTTAAACTCTGTACCAGAACTAATTTGTTGTCCTTTGCTTACTTCTGAAATGGGGGAACTTCCTGTGGGGACCAGCACATGAACCCTGTAGTTGAGCTAAATTTCTGCTTTGCTGCTGATTCTTTCGGAGAGGCTTTTTGTGCAGCTCAGGTTTTAATGGTTCACTTTATAGGTACTTCCAGCTCTGGAGAGATCCAGTGCACCTGGGTTGTGTAGAAACTCTGTTCTGGGCTTGAGTCTTTTCATCAAACTGCACTCCATGCAATTCTATATTCCTGACCAGTCTCCTCTGAGTGGTCCTTCGCTGATAGGGGTGCAGATCAGCTGTCCTTGCTGTGTCCCAGTGTTCTCCCGGTGGGCCCATCTCCCCCACCACCTGTGCTGCAAACACTTCCCATGGGACGGACCCTGTGCCAGTCCCTTGCAATTATTCACCGGCCTCTGAGTGGCTCCTTTTATCCAGTTGTTGTGGCTCCTCGCTCCTATGTGGGTCCACAGGAAACCTATTAGTGGTCTTGCTGGCCTGGGGGCCACCAAGTCCCGCTTCTCCCCTGCTGCCTCCAAGCAACTTTATCCAAAGGGCACAGCTGTGGCTTTTGCCAGCTCCTGCTCTGTGCACTCAGCAGCTCCAGCCTTGAAGCGGCTGAGGCTCAAATCGGTCAGAGCAGTTCTTTCTTTCTCTCATCATGGCTTTTCCTGCCTTCATGCACTCCGTAAGTCTCTCCTCCTCTTCCCCTGAGCTCTAGCAGCCCCAGCTTGGCTGTCATTGCTTTTTAATAGTTGTAAATTGGTTGATTTGTGGGAGACAGTGATGCTGGGGACCATCTATTCCTTCATCTTGACTGGAATGCCCCTACTTTTAAAAATTATTAACTTTTATATTTATCAGAGTAATGCCTGCACTTGATTAAAAATGTCAAAGAACATTACAAAACTTACTGTCAAAAAAACAGCTGATCTCAGTGTCATACCTCAGGTCTATATACCAGGGACAGCTACTTTAAAAACTCTTCTAGCACTAAAAATATCTCCTTATTTTTAAATATCATAACATGCTTGTAAGCTATTTTTTGACTTAACAATTTTAAACAGTATTCACTAATGCCCTGTTATGGTAATTAAGGATTTAACTCTCTTATAATACCACACTTCACACTTCCTCTCCTCCCATCTTATGAACAGGTAAATAAATAAGCACATTGCAGTATACCCATAATACTACTCAGCAACAAAAAGAAATGAACTATTATACATGTGCAAAAACATAGATGAATCAGAAAATCCTATGCTGGGTGAAAGAAGCCGCATGAAAAAGAGTACATACTATGATTACATTTATGTAAAATTCTAGAAAATGCAAGCTAATCTGTAATGACAGAAAACAAATTAATGGTTGCCTGGGTTCAGGGGTTGAAGAAAGGATAGATTACAAAAGGAATGGATTACGAGGAAACTTTGGCAGGGAGGTGATGGACATGTTCACTATCTTGATTATGGTGATGGTTCTACAGGTATCCATGTAACAGTTCATCAGATTGTGTACTTTATAAGAAGTTTATTGCACATCAGTGATACTCAATAAAGGTGTAATTTTTTTAAAAAAGCTGGTTGAAGGTTTTCTGCATGGGTGGGGCTTATTAATGGGCTTTACTGTAGGATGATCAGGAAATGAGCTGGCATTTTCACTGGGGAACTTCCCAATGTTAAATGAGGAGGCCTAGGGCAAGCCCATGGCTCACTTGGGAGGGTGTGGTGCTGATAACACCAAGGCCACAGGTTCGGATCCCTATATAGGGAT